AATGGTTTTCCAAACTTTTTACCTACCTTGACTGTAACATTATTATGTGTGTGCATGGACTTCACTACATGGATCAGCTTATCTTCTACTTCTATTTGTTATGTGGCTTCCCACAGTCGTTGTCTGGGCACAAAGTCGTATGCCTTTTTTAGGTCAATAAAGGCTAGATGGACTGGTCTGTTCTTTGCCATCTTCTTCTCTATTAGAGAAGAAGATGGCAAAGATGGCTATCTAAATCTGAGAAAATTACAAACAAAAAATTTAACAGTATCTAGATACAATAGACCAGAGCAATGATGTCGAAAGGCTGTGGCAACAAATGGAAAAATCAATTACGAAGTCAGCAGAACTAATAAATAGAAAAAAGCAGGAAGAGAACAATGATATGGTTTGATACAGAATATCAAGAAAAACTACACGACAGACAGATAAAGCGAAACATTATGCTTCAACAAGGAGCAGCGGAAAGTAAAGAAAACTATGCAACTTCACGTCGAGAAACAAAAACATTAATTAGAGAGAAAAGGAGGCATGAACAACAGAAGTATGAATAAATGGTAAAGAATAAGCAACACTCACATAGTCGAGTATTATACAAATCAGTGTCAAACAAAAAGAAAGGCTTCAGACCTAGATGTGTGTCTGTACTCAGAAAAAATGATGAATTAATAATAAACGAAAAAGAACTGCTCCAAACATGGCAAAAATATTTCAAGACTTCACTAAACATATACTAAGAGGAAGAATATGGAGAATATATATATTTTGGGGTGGACCCAAAAATAGAGGTAACATTGCAAGCAATTAACAAATTGAAGAACGGAAAAGCTCCAGGCTCTAACAATATACTGGCTTAAGTATGGAGGAAAAACTCTACATAGACAAATACACAAACTAATAACACTATGGAACGAAGAGAAAATACCAACAAAATGGCACGAAAGTGTAATAATTCCCACCCTTAAAAAGGGAGACAAAACCAAGTGCTCTAATTATAGAGGGATTTCCCTACTTGATACGGCATATAAAAACTTATCGAACATCCTGTTAAGTAGGCTGACATCGTTTGTAGAAAATTTCGTGGGGAAATACCACGCCGGCTTCAGAAAACATAGATCGACCATAGATCAGATCTTTACTCTAAGACAGCTGGTTGGAAAGGGATGGGAATTCAATAGAACTATCCATAATCTCTTCATAGATTTCCGGCAAGCGTACGACAGCATTACAAGGGATCAGTTATGGAATGCAATGGCAGAATTTTCAGTTCCAAAAAACTTATCCAGCTTATTAAGTTATGTGTGAATAGCTGTAGATTCAGAGTACGGATAGGTAATAATCTCTCAGAAGCTTTCGAAATAAGCAGCGGCCTGACACAAAAGGGGATGCACTGTCACCTCTCCTTTTTAATATCATCCTGGAGAAAGTAATAAGAGCAGAACAACTTAGAACAGAATTACTGACAGTAAATGGGCCAAAATGACTACTAGCATACACAGTTGACATTGTGGGAAACACAGTCACCAATGAGAAGGAGACTTTTAATAAATTGGAGGTAGAGGCAAAGAAAACTGGTTTAAGAGTAAACGAAGAGAAAACCAAATACATGTGCATCAACAAACAAAAGGGACGAGATAGAATAGTGCAAAATGTTAGAATAGACCCATATAACTTTGCTCAGCAACAATCACTGCAGATAACGATATCGCGAAATAGATTAAAAGAAAAATTCAGCAGCAAACAGATGTATGTACAGCTTCCTCAATACTATATATATATATATATATATATATATATATATATATATATATATATATATATATATATATATATATATATATATATATATATATATATATATATATATATATATATATATATATATATATAATCGGTTTAAAACGACCTCCAACGTCTTCCGATGCCCAATCTCCATGCATCTCTATCTTCCCAAACATCTTCGTCTAAACCTCTCTCGAATCTCTCTATCTATTCCTTCTCTCCAGCTCTTTCTGGGTCGGCCTCTTTTTCTCTTTCCATGTGGTGACCAATCTATAATCTGTTTGGGCAGACGATGTTCTGGCATTCTCTGCACATGTCCATACCACTTTAGTTGTTGTACTCTTATATCTTCGACAATCGTATGTGTGACTCCCATAACCTCTCGTATACGTTCGTTATTAATTCTTTCGAGTTTTGATTTTCCTGCGGCCCGTCTCCAGTAGTCCATCTCCGTGGCTTGTAGTGTTCTTTCAGTAGTTGCCTTTAACTGCCACACGTCACTTCCATACATTACTATGCTCTTTATAATAGTGTTGTATATTCGATGTTTATTTTTTTTGGATATATGTTGATCCCAGATAATACTATTTAGTTGAGATATGGCCCTTCTACCCTGAGTGTTTCGTTTTTTTATAGCCTGATCTGATTTTCCGTCGTCTGTGATTTCTTCTCCTAAATAGGAATATTTATTGTTGTACTTAATGTGTTGTCCGTCGTTTAAAACTAGATTTTGTTCTTTACCACCGATGTTCATGTACATTGTCTACTACAAAACCTTTGGAAACATTCGTTCCTATTTTAACTTTGGCGTTGGCGTTCTCATATAGTTTTTCCACTGCTGTTATGAGATTTGAGTTGATGTTCGTTTGTCTGAGAGTGTTCCATAACTTATTTTGAGGGATGCTATCGTAGGCCTTTTTTAGATCAACAAACAAAAAGTGGACTTCTTAATCTACAGCAACCTTTTTTTCTATAAGTTGGGTGATACAAAAAAGGTGGTCTATGGTCGATCTACCAGCTCTAAAACCCGCCTGTTCTTCTGCCTCCATATCAGTGTATTCTCTTTCTATTCTATTTTTGATCATTTTCCCATAGATTTTACTAATGGTACTAGTAACTGCTATTCCACGGTAATTGTCGCAATTTTGTTTGTTTCCCTTTTTATGTACAGTTGAAATGGTTGAGGTTTTAAATTCGGCTGGAACCTCTACTTTGTTTATGCAGTTTTAAAAGAGTATTGTCAAATGCTCATATAGTTTTTCAGTTCCATATTTTATCAGTTCTGAGGGTATATTGCCAGGTCCGGGCGCTTTTTTGTTTTTGAGTGAAATACAGATATCCCTTACTTCCTTTTTCGTGATTCTTATAGGAGATGCTTCAACGCGTATGTTTTGGTTACTTTACTGATTTAAAGTTTACTGAAGTACATGTCCCATGTTTCTAACGAAATTGGTGAGATTAAATCTTTTTTCTTGTAGCTTGTAAATCTTCTGTAAAGAGATTTAATAAGTTTCCAGCTTTCTGTACTTCTAGTTCCTCCTATGTACGTACTTAATTTTTGACAGTTTTGATCCCAGGATTCATTTTTTTTCTGTCTTATCATTTGTCTCACCTTAGCTTGATGGTTTTTGTAATCAGACCAATTTGTATCTGTTTTTGCACTTAAATATTGTTCATACTTTTGTTTCTTTTGTTTTATCGCTGTGTCTATTTCTTCATCCCACCAGTATGGAGTATTTTTGTTTTTCTTTTCGTAATATCCAAGCGCTTCTTTTGCTACAGAGTAAATACTTTCTTTAATGTAATTGTAGTGGTCTTCGATGTTATTAAAATTTATGTTTTCAAGTTTCTCGTTCAGTCTGTTTTGATACAATATTTTTACACTATCTTGATCTAGGCTGATAAGATTATATCTTACATCTTCTACCATCTCTGAGCGAACTACTGGTTGTTCATTCTGGCTTCTTCTTGAAAACATTATTTTTGCTTTTAAGAGATGGTGATCGCTTCCACAAACTGTGCCTCTATAAGCTCTTACGTCGTAGATTTTAAGATTTGATCTTTGGCGTACAATCAAGTAATCTATTATAGATTTTAGATTCCTTGTTCTCTGTCCCCAGGTGTATTTGTGTACTTCTCGATGCTGATAGAATCCATTTGTAATACGGAGCTGGTTCTGTTCGCATATTGTGATAAGTCTGGTCCCATTGTCATTTGTTATGCTTTCTCCGTAAGGACCAACTATTTTATAGCTTTGTTTTTTTCCGACCCTGCCATTAAAATCTCCAAGCAGGATTAATTTCCTCGTATTTCCTATCGATGTTATTTCTCGGTTTAATTTCTCGTAGAATTCTTCTTTCTTGTTAACCAGTGCATCATCGTTACCTGCATATACACCTATTATTGTTAGTTTATGACCATGTATATTGAGGTTTATTTTATCCTCAATACTATCAAATCTAAAAGCCTAACACGAACATCAAAGATTAGAATATATAAAACGGTGATTAGACCGGTGTCCATGTATGGGGTGAGACGTGGACCCTGACCAAAGAAACTGACTCCCTAATAACCGCCTTCCCAAGTTAATATGGGAGGAAGCCCCCACAGGAATAAGGCCCTTAGGACGTCCACGAATGCGATGGAGAGACAATATATGGTCAGATCTAAGAACAATGGGGCTACCCACTGACCCAACTATTATGGACGACCGTTCAAGATGGAAGCAAGTTGTCCAGTCAGCCAAGACCCACCCTGGGTTGTAGTGCTACGAGAAGAAGATGAAGAAGAATAGTTGTGTAATTTTTTACATAATTTATATTACCAGATTTAAAAACAGGAACTTTAATTTTGTAGGAAAGGTATTATGCTCTTGAGTAGACTGTAAATTGCAAAAAAAATAATAATTACAGGTTGCGATTTCTTTTTAGTTTTACAAACATATCGACGATTCCTCCGTCGTCCATCTTTACTTTAATTTGGATCTACCTGTATAAATAAAATCTACTTTAGATATATTTGCAGTACTGGTTTAATATAATGGCTGTGAGGATAATAAAAAAATTCCTTGAACACAAGGAAGCTGTCTATATTTACAACGCAAATTATTGCAACATGTTAAAGGTTCACGTCACGAAGAATCTTTTTAGTTATCATTGTACCAAGACGTATCAGCATCCACTTGTTTGTTTTTATTGAGCGTATACACTTTCTTGCGCATTTGTTTATTAACTATTGTACCACTCGGTTGAAAAATCGCTAAGCCTACTTTGGATTCGGCTTTCGAGCGATAATATAGTCCGGAGAATAGTAGTTTAGATCGTGTGAAGCGGTTTAGAAATCCAATTTAGGTGCCATGGCCTTTTTCAAATCGATGTGGAAACCAAACTCGAAGCACGAAAGTAAGTTTTTTATGTTTCACTATTTTGTGATTGTGTGGTGACCTCGCTTGTTGCATTTCAAATGACCAAAGAAACTAAAGGTCAAAAATGTTACATATTATGTAGGTTAGACAATTTTAGACTTCCTGTATTTAGCTGATTTATCTATGGCAGTCAAATCACATAGTTTTAGTTATTATTTCTCTAGTAAAAATCATATTTTCTATTTTGTGGATCTTTTCTACAACAAGACATTCATTTTAATAAATATTTTGTTCGTACTTTTAATAAATTGACACTTCGATATGGTAATTATTTCGCCCGAAAAATATTTGTACATTGTTTGCCTTTTGTAAATATTATCTGTACCACGGAGATAAAGAACACTATGTCCATTTTCTTACGTTTTTAGGAGAGCACTTTTAACATTTTTTAAATTTTTACTCAGTAAATACTCAAATGTTTCTTATATTTAACCAAGATTAATATATTATTATTGTTGTGTGTATAATCGTTTTTCCTTCCATGAAGTGTTATATACCTGAAGTTCACTATTCATTGTGCACAATTTTTTTAAAAATGTGAAGTTGGACATAGTGTTGTTTACCTCTAAAAACTTTTTTAAATAATGTGACATTGCATGTTAAGGTCTCTACGAAATAAACAAGACAAACACAATGAAGAGTTTATACTATTATTTTAATAGAGATAAATATTATAATGTTATAACAATTAATGTTATAACGACAAGTCCCAAAATTGTTAAAGAGGCTCCATATCATCTTCATTTTCTTGGGGGTAATCGTTTGTGGCTACATTGCTGTGTTAAAATATGATAAAACGCTTGACAAACCGACGAAACAAAAGGCAATAATGCAATTAAGCCATTGTATTTTTATTTGGTGATTGGTGTCCACTACATGAAGTCCACCTCATACATATTTTGATTATTGAAATCGGTCTTATAAAAGAGCTTTCCAATGTGTTCTTGTTGGACTTATAGGAAAGCACATGTTCACAGTAGAACAGGCTCTTTGTTAACATTCTTTTTTCTACTAACAAAAGGAGGATTAGGTGACAGTTTTTCATCAACAGCGTTTTTGAAAGTTTTTGAAATCTGCAGGTTGCAAATTGTTCACTGTGTATTTACCTGATGTTTCTTTAACTAGCTGTTGCCAGTCCCATGGTGGTAAAATGGCCAAATTGAAAAGTTTCTTTTTTTTCCTCTCGATCAAATCATGAACACGTCTGTTTCCATATGTGTGTGCCCTTTCAGTAAAAACTTTTGAATGATCGTCTTTATTTGAGGGTACGTATGCAGTATCCAAAAATAGCACATTATAATAAGTATATTTTTATTTTGTTCATAGCAGTTATCCGACCAAAGAGTTATATCCTCTACTTGACTACCTGAAATTGTATTCTCAGCCCATTTCAAAATTGTCGCGGCAATTTCATTTGTACAGAATTGTACAATTGTACAGAAGAATCACTGGCATCATATATTGTAAAATTTAATGTCCAAAGCTTCCTTGTGTGGAAACTAATACAATTGTTTGTTAGTGTAAAGGCAAACATTTTTGCAAATCACCAGATAGTACTTTGTGTTTTGGCGAATCTTTAGCCTTTATAGTCAATTAACCAATAAGTCTAATTGTTTTAAGTTATACCGAGTTTTAAATTCAATTAGGTGTGTTGCATCTGCATCCACATGTATTTCATTGTATGTAAATTCTGTGCCCAGATAATTTCTCTTGCTCCTTTCTCTGGAAAAATGACTCTCGTACTTTGGGAAAGAATTGCTATGTTGATATATAGTATTTATGGTTTCAGTAGGAGTTTTCCTTTTCTACGAGAGTTCGGGTCCATTTTGCAATTATTAAACAACGGATTTATTATACAACTTTTAACAATCTAACACTATTGCGAATTAAATAAATTGGTTACAATTATTTTAGTTCATGAAAATTCCACCAGGTACCAGGGTACATAACACTATGTCCGGATGGTAAATAACAGCGCACACATTGAGTAGAGGTAAACATCACCAAGTCCACATGGTGTTGTTTACCTCTGACGAAGTGGACTTGGTGTTTAATAAAAAGTCGGTATCTTGCCGTAGAATTGTCTTTGGACATATATAGTATAGTATATATTATAGTATATATTATAGTATGTATATATATTATCATCATAATTCTCAAATATTCTACCGATTATTGTACAGCCTTCCTTACACAGTCGTTCTTCATTTCTTCCCAGGATTGTGTAATACTCGCTTGTCTGCTGCTCCATGCTGTTCCTGTTTTTCTGTATGTCAAAGTTCTATCTTAAGTTTGGAGGTCGTCTTGGTCACTTGATGCCTTTTGAATACCACAGTGTGATTCTAGTGGACCATCTATTGTCAGTTCTACTTGCTGAATGTTCCGTCCACCGTCATTTTTATTATTTGATTCTCTGGATTATAATATATCAGTAACCTGTGTTTTCTGTCTGATCCAGTTTATTCTTTTGCGACCTCTCTTTGTTTTACCTAACATGTATCGCTCCATTGACCTTTAAGTAACTTTGATTTTCGCTTTTATCTCTTTCTTCGGTGTACAAGTTTTGTAACCGTAAGTGATGATTGGTACATTGATCGAATACTATTTTCTTTAGGTTGAGTGGCATTCTAACCAAAGCATTTGTACCAAATGCTTTGGTTAGTCAAAGCTTGGGATATATAGAATTGAAGGTCTTCTTAAAGTCCATAAAGCTTAAGGCTATCTTCTTCTTCATATACCATGTCATTTCAGAACGTTGGTTATCATCATAGCTATCTTAATTTTATTCACTGTCACACTAAATAGTATGCTTGTATCAACACCATACCAATCTCGCAAGTTTTTCAACCATGAGGTTCTTCTTCGTCCTGGACTACGTTTGTCTGCTATTTTTCCTTGCATGATATTTTGTAGCAACCTATATTTGGGACCTCTCATTACATGTCCGAAATACTCCGGCTTTCTCTGCTTGATGCTTTTTTAAGGCTATCGGTATTTCATATTATTTAACTCTATTCATTAGTTCTCAAAGCAAATGGATATGGTTCCAGCAGGACAGTGCAACACCCCATTATGCTTTAATGGTGAGAAATTACTTGAATGAAATCTTCTTCAACAAATGGATTGGACGAAGGGGTACTATTGAGTGGCCAGCTAGGTCGCCAGATCTTACGCCTTTGGATTTTTTTCTGTTGGGTTATCTCAAGAACAAAGTATATGCAACAGAACCAACTAGCATTAAATACCTCAAAGAAAGGATAACTACAGAAATATGGAAAATTTCACCTCAAACAAAACAAAGTTTGGGACGAGTTTTATAGGAGACTGTGTTATTGCCAACAACAAGGTGGAGAACATTTTGAGCATTTATTTTAATGTAACCCAATCAATTACCTCGGGTATTCTATGAATTAATTGTCTTGAACACAATTATACTTAATTTCAAAATTTCACCTTTTATTATTCATAATAGACCCTATATGTGATTGGTTTGTTAAGGAGCTTTTAAAAACATAAAAATACACAGAGTGTTTCATTAAAAATAAGGATTATGGACTTTACCAGATTTGCGTGGATCACCCTGTACATTGAAATTTATGCGTAAAAAGCGCACATTTAAATTTAAAAGTTAAGGTATCTCCACGTTTTTTATTATGTTCAAAAATAAGGACACAAACAATTTTATTCCAAAAGTGGTTACTACACTGTATATACACTCTATTGATTCCCTTTTTCTCCCCAGTTTATTGTAGACACAGTCTCACACGGATTGGAATCATGTCTCACTTTCTTGTCGCAAATATGTGTTATTGACTGTGATAAGTAAGTGATTTCTCCATAACTCGTATTAAAGTAATCAAGTGACCAACGCACGATTTTAAATAAATATTTTTAGTTTTGGCGTTATATTTAGAGACAAAACAATATCTTGAGCAACATTTGACCTCTTTAGCCTCGCATCATATCGTGCATCGACTTTTGCAATATTGAATGTTCTTGACCTTCAAATATTACGTGGTAAAAGTCCTATCTGTACACACTTTTCCATGAATCACTTGCATCACATCTTGTGAGGAAGTGTTAAAATATTGTATACCTAATAAATATTCAAAAAGTTGTTTAAAACTTAAAAATGTCATCCTATCATTAGGTGATTTACTAAAAAAAAATACTGTATACAGGATTGGCACAATATCTGTATTCTTTTATATTGTTCTTTGGTGTTAATGTTTCAGTGTTTCCTCTTTGGTGTTCCAAGATTGGTTATTGAAGCTTGGTATTTTATGTTCTGTCTTTTCCTAAGTACATTCTTTCTTGATAGAAGGGTCTATCGAGTTTTGCTGAAGACCTTATGTCAAAACATAAGTCCAACTTATGTTTTTTTCTCGTTAAAAACATTTTATCACAACCTACCAGCAGACAAGGGGAATGCAACTGTGATAATGGATAAAATTCAATACGAAAATAAAATTAAAGATCTATTAATAAACGGACCTTATACAAAATTAACAAAAGATCCAACAAAGCCTTTGGACAACAAAATATATAGAACTTTATTCAAGTTTAAAGATGTTTTAACAAGTTATCAGAGAGGATTAATTACACCTCATTACAGTAAGACTCCTCATTTTTATGGAGTACCGAAAATTCATAAAACGAATATACCACTTAGACTCATTTGTAGTACCATGAATTCTCCTTGTAGTGAACTATCAAAATTTTTATTAAATATTTTAAAACCATTTACAAATAAAAATGACACATTCATAAAAAATACACAACATTTTTTAAATAAATTATCAAATATTGAATTTAATTCAAATAATACTTTGGTAAGTTTTGACATAAATAGTTTATTTACGAATGTGCCATTAAATAAGACTTTAAGTATAGTCAAGACAAAATTAGAGAGTGATGATTCATTGGCAATTAGAACAAGACTAAACATATCGGCTATAATGGAGTTATTAACATTAT